CTGCAGGGCAGGAGTTCAAAACAGTTTTGCTCTTTTGGGCCTCTTCATTGTGTAGATGGAAAGATTGAGGCCTGGGGTAAGAGAGTGACCTTAGGCCTTTTGGAGTGGAGTGTCAGGGAAGAGTTCTCAGAGGAAGGATAGGGAAGCATCAAGGGTGTTATAAGGAATCGAGGGAACCTGGGAACGATGAGAACCGCATGTACAGAGTGCCCGGGCAGGAACGGTGGGTGAGCTAGACCGGACCCCAGCCATGGTCCAGCTGGGCTGCATGGTCGGGTCAGCCTCCCGTGATCTGTGGCCCATCTCAGTGTCGTGTCCCCACTTCACCTCTGCTCATAGCTGAGCTGCTGAGTTTGCTGCTCTCCGTAACACAAGGAATTCCTAGTCCTGGCCTTCAGAGAGGATTCTGGGAGCCACCCCAGGGAAGGCAGCCAGCCAAATAGGTGAAAGTGGAGCGAGGCAGACAGCTGTACTGAGCCCTCACGTGTCACAGAAACAGCAATCCTTTGGCAGGCCCACAGAACCCCCAGAATCAGGCAGCTGCTTAAGTACAGTTTTTAGCTCTTTGAGAAATTTTGCTTCCAGCATCAGCATTTATGTCATTTAAGACTAAACTTCAGCCCTGCTTCTAAGCCCAGAGGCTCACTGAGCAGGGTCAAGGGCGTGGGCATGCCCTGGGGTGACACTGGGCTCACTCCTGCTGTGCCAGGGTGCTCTGTCTCGCCCTCTGCAGCTAGGATTGGCCTTGCTCCAACTCAGCCCCTGGTTTGGCAAGTTGTAGCATGAACCAGAGCTTTGGTCACTTCTGAACTTTGAACTTCATAGTAGACCCTGGGGTAAGAAAGCCAAACATGTTCTGAATTCTTTTTAGCAGTGAAGATACTAAGGCCCAGAGAGAGACAATGTCTTCGCCTCCAGTAGTGGGACAGTCGGGCTCGGCCACAGACCAGTGTTCACCACTACCCCCACTGCCTCCCTTGGAGAAAGCCCTTGGGACGCTATGAAACGAGACCCTCCTCCCTCCTGGGAACACAGCCTGGTCAGGGAGACTCATCTGGGGGCCAGCATGTAGGGAACACAGAACAAATGGCTTGAAGGGTCAGGTCGTCTATCAGGCCAAAGCAAAGGGCTGGACCCTCCTGAGAGGGAAGACAATCTGGTCACAGGGCCCTGGCTGGAGGGGAGGTCACAGACCGGGATAGGCGCCTGGATGATAGAGCTCATCCTCCTGCATCATCTGCTCACCCAGATCCGTTCTCACATGAGGGAAATTGACTAGAGAGCAGCTACTTTCCAAAAGTTGGTGGGCTAAGAAGTATAGGACCGGGACAGAACCAGCTGCCCTGCCAGGGTTACTCTTGATTTGAGGAGCCACAGGAAGCCCCAAATTTTTCTTGCGCCACCACTTCTTACTCTTCCCATGATGCTTTATTTTCTCCCCAGCAGACTTCTACCTTTGGCACTGAAGGCTCCTTTGAGACACATTTGTCTCAAGTAATAAGCCAGAGAAACCTATTTATATTCAGGGCCTGGATGCCCAGGTGCCCAGGAAAGAGTTGGTTCCCATATTTGAAAATGGGAGAATTTAATGGCACAGCTGAATGGATTTCAAGGGGTGGTCCGAGAGCTCTTGGCCTTCGGTCATGCTTGACACCCAGGCCACGTTCACACCAGTTGTGTCCTTGAGCGAGGACAGTGATGAACCCCTGGGTTGCAGATCCCTGCTCACTGGGACAGGAGGAGAATTCCTTCCCAGACACTCAGGACCTTCCCTCAGCAGCATCAACTCCTTTTTCTGTGTTCACCTTCTGCCTTTCACACCTGCAGTTCAACCAGTCTTATCCCCAATGCTTTCCCAGCCCCTCACCCCCTCATCCCCGCCAAAAAAAAAATCCTTCTTCACACCTTTGTTCAAGCTCAACCTCCACCTGAAATACCCTGTCATCGTCCTTGTTCAAATTCCACTTCCTTGTTGGTTCAAGTCCACTCCCTCTAGGAACCCTTCACAGGGCACTCCCCCAGGTGAGACCACAGCCTGCATTCCACAGGTCCTGCAGTCGCTCAGTCTGGTGACTCTGCTTTCACTGCAGAAGTCTGAGGTCTTTGAAATGACAGGCTGTTGACAATTTTCTTGTGCCCCTCAAGTATTTCAGAGGAGCAGTTTGTACATGTGGGGATGCCCCTGCTCTGGGCAGTTTAACCTCTACCCACCCCTCCATGGTTGTGTGTTTAAGGCTATCAACTCTGATGAAGAACCTTTACCAGAAACCAGAATGTTTTTTAAACACTGTTGTTGAGGTCAACAAAACCAAATGCTGCTTGCTGAGTGTGTGTTCTCTGCCCTTCCACACCCTTGCCCTGCCCTGTACACAGAACCAAGCCCTGTCCTGCTCCCTGGGCCTGAGCTATACAGATAAGGCCCCCTAGATCTCTGGGTTGGGTGGGGGTTGGGGGAGTTTAGCTGAACCAGCCACATTCATTTCAGCCCAGTCTGTGTGACGGGTGCTGGCTCAGGAACAGCTGCAGGCCTGTGGTCAGGCTGTCCCTGCAGAGGCATGACCTCACCCCTCCCGCAGCTCTGTTGAAACCCTGGCCATCTCAGAGCCCACCTCTGTGGGCAGCTTCCTTTGCCCTTCCTAGTTTAGTTATTAACTACTCCTTGCTCCATGCTCTAGGTCTCATCTCTGTGATTGTTGGGTAGGTCAGCACCTGTCTCCCTCCCAGCAGCCCTTGAGGACAGCACCATGGAGACCTAATGTCCCTAAGAATTATCAGGTTTAAGATTTTTTTTAATTAAAGTAATAATAATAAAATTAAATTTAAAAATAAACAGATTTAAATAATAAAAAATGAGATATAAAATGAAAAAATAAAAGAAAATTTTAAAAAGGAGTTTTCAGGTTAGGTAGATGTTAGGGTCTTGAAAGGTGCTGTGAATCACCAGTAAAGGCCTTCTGATGGTTACGTCTTCAACTGAGGCTCCTGACCTGTCAAGCCATACAACACAAGACCCATCTAAACCTCTCCAAAACAGAATAGTTCTCTTCTGACAGATGAGAACAGAGAGACCTGGTTTTAGGTTTTGAAATAGAGGAACATGCTCTTTGGCCTGTTTTCCCAGCCAGCTTATAGAACAAGTATCCTTTTTACTGTAGCAGAGCAATAAATGGAAAGCTACAGCTGGTCACCCAGAATATCCACCTGCAGTGTAGCCAGGACACTGCAGTGAAGGTCAGTGTCATCTCTGGATTCTGAATAGCACAGGAGCCGAAACATGGATCTTAGGAGTAAAGTGGGGCGGGAGGCTTAAAGTACGACACAGGCTTTGACTTCACTAAATGCTTGGCACGTTGAGAGTTCAGTGACCAGCCAGGCCAGAGTGAATGAATGAATGAATGAATGTTGTAAACGATGGTCTTACCCCACCCAGTTTAAACCTCTAATCACCATGGCTTTGCCTTACCCTTCCACTGGTCTGGAGCAACCAAATTCCATTCTTGGACCTGGTCTTGAAGTCATCAGTCCCAGTCCATGCCCGCAGGAATACTCAGTCTGGAGGAGGGAGCCAACAGGCAGTGGTGTCTCCCCTGGTCTGAGGCATTACGGGGTTCAGCAACTCCCATGTTTCAAAAGGAAGCAAAAAGGTAGGCTCCCTTTCACCCTAATCCTAGACCTCACCAGAAAACAGGAAGTTGTATCTTCTAGTCACTTTCTCTTGTTGCTCAGGAAACCATACCTGAGGGCTTCAGTGCTGAGAGCTTGCTGAGGTTGTGGGCACTCTGTCAGCATGCGGAAATCCAACATGGGACCCTCAAGGTTGCCCAGCATCCACTACTCTTAGCACATTCCAGCTGCTATTCTAAGTATATTTCCCCAGCTTAACTCAGAGCTACAAGGGCTCAAGAACTGAGCTCTGTTCCTTTCTATATCTTCTCACACTGGGTGTTACAAGGTTAAAGAAATGAAGGAAAGACAGGATTACGGAATGTTACCAATCCCAGAAGCAACTCTTGCTGGACATGTTTTCCATCAGCAGAATTGTAAGGGGCAAGGAGATAACCTCAAGCTCTAGGGTTCTTGGTACCTGGGGAGTGGTGCGGTGCACTCTTAGTGCCCATCAGCTGGTGCAGTGTTCATGGGCCTTGGGAGAGGAAAGACACCATCCACGGAACAGGCAAGTGCTCTGAAATCAGCCCATTTGCCTGTGATAGAAACTCCTGCCTTCTTTCAGCATTGCCTTTCCCCTACCTGGTCTCTACCTCTTCCCCAGAGCCTGCTGCTCAGCTAGCTGACTGGGTCGACCTTCCTGTATAGCTTTGAATTCCTTCAGAGCAACAACCCAGCCTTTAAGGACACACACACAGAGAATTGAATGAGTCTTAAAGGAGCCAGAGGACTATGATGTCATACCCCAGTGTAAGCACCCAAAGAGTGTAATCAATGATACCCTGTCAGCCTGAGAAGGGAGATTTTGGTAGCAGGGCCACAGGTGTGTGCTTCAGGTCACAGGTGTGTGCTTCAGGTCACCTGGCAGCTCCAGCAACTCGCAAAGGCCATGTAGAGAATATATTATTCACCAACATTGTCTCCCCAGCAGTTGGCTCAAACATGGGATGGTCACAGCTCAGGATAAAGGCCTTGTCTAGACTCATGCAGCCAGGGAAGAGTTGAGGCTTCAAACCTGCCTGAAGGTAACTGCCCTACTTCTCTAGAAGCACAGAAAGAGTCTGAGTTGGTGTTCACATCTTAGCACTGCTGCTCAAATTGTGGAAACTTGTTTTTATTTAACCTGAACTATGGGCCTTCATCCATGACATGGGGAAAATAATGTACCCACCCTGAGGACAAGGTTAATATTAAACAAGATGGGGCATGTAAAGTGCTTTGTAAACCAGTCAACGGTACAATATTAGCCAAAGGATCAAAAAATGAGGGGAATCAAGTCCTCTCTTGGGAGTGCTGGGTCCAGGTGCTAACCAAGCTGATTTCTCCATCTCCAGGACAAGAGTGATACCACCAGGGGAGCCCTGTCCCGAAGGCCTTGTCGTCCCAGACCTATTCCGCTGCCTCCCAACCTGCCTGAGGAAGAAACTCGTAGGATCGCAAGGATATTTTCTTCCCGGTACTCTCAGAAAGACTAAGGCAGCCCAAGAGACGGGGTAGGATACACCTGTCCACCTCCCTCTGCCCTATTTGACTCACAGGAGGCACCAGCTCTGCTTCCCTTGGGGCTTCCAGAACCCTGAAACCACCACCAGCCTAGTCTGCCGACACTTGAGACCCAGTCAGCCCAGACCGGAGGCGCGTCCCAAAGCAGCCCATTGTCCACCTGCCAGCATCTCCCTGGCAGGAGATGATGAGACAAAGGCTAGAAAACATGATTCCAGCACCCAGGTGACCCACCCATCTTTTGGTCAAGCGAACTAAGCAGTCATCTTACAGCTGAGAATTTCTCCCAGTGTCCATGACAGCCACCGCCTTCTGCCCACCCTCTGCCTGAGAGATGGGCCATTTTTGCCTTAAGGTTTGGGGGAGGGGAGGGGTCGAGGCATGAAGATTGTGTGCATTGTACATACACGAGGAATCTTCAGGCCACCTCCAGTTCATTTGCCTGGGAGTAGGATATTTTATAGATGTAAATTATTTTTATGCCGTGTTGAAGTAATCAGTAGGAGAGGAGGGGGAATCACCTCCTTCAAACATTTTATCTGATTGTCTGAAAATTCTAACCATGCTTTTAATTTATTATTTTTACCCAGCTCTGAAGGTCATTGTTCCTGCCTGTGTTTGAATAAAATCATATTTTTTTTTTTTATTCTGTGCACAAGTCTTTCCTGGGTTGGCTAGAACTTAGTGTTGGGAATTCTTTTGTGCCCTAGCAGCCAGAGAGAAAGTTTGATATGTACACAGCCCCTGAGAGAAATGCATCTGGAACAGGAGGCTAAGTCACAGGAGACTTCTGAGCCTAAAGATCAGGTTAGTCCAGAGGAGCATTAAACAGTATTTTCTTGGCTGGCACCTCAAATCTGTCAGCAGAGTAGAAGGCCCCCTAAGGATCCCACAGCTCCCTGCGTCAAGAAACTCTGGCTTAGACTGACAGTCTCCAAATATTTGAGCAGCTAAAATAGACAAGAGCCTGTGGGGAAAGTAAAGGGGCAAAGATGTACAGAGTGACCGTGAGAGAAGGTTGGATGGGAACTAACATGAAAGGCCTGCTTCCCACCCCAGCCCAGGTCACCTCGCTGAGACCTACATAAGCTGACTCCCATCTGGTAGTTAAATTGAAGCTCAACGGTGTCAATTCTGTTTACACAACTCACAAGTGAGTTCCCATAGATGTCACAGGTTTCTGTGCTCACAAGCAACCAGAAAGTACTCTGAATTTGGGAAACTCGTGGGGGGGAAGGCTCTGCTGGAGCAGTCAGGGAAGACTTCCTGGAAGAGATGAGTATAGGGGTGAGCACTAGGAAACCCCTTGGACCACATGCAGCTAAGCAAGGCAGAGAAGAGACCTGTCCGACCCTGCTGCTTCCTTGACGGGTTCCCCCCAGCCTCAGCCCCAGTAGCCTCATCTGTCAAACAGAAATAATAACCCCAGTTTCACTGGTTTGCCATGAAGACTAAGAGATGACATTTATGAAAGCACATCGCCTTCATTTGGCACACAGTGGGAGCTGTGGAAATGTCAGCCCCACCCACTCCTTCGCCACTCTCCTGGAGCAAATCAGGTGATGGGCAAGCACAGCAGTAACTACAGGCAGGACTTGCCCTCCAAGAGTAATGCAGGATCTAGGAGGGATGGGGCTCACTGGTGAAGTGCCTGCTCCGCCCCCTAACCCTCAACCTCAGAGCCTCCCTCTCAGGTCCCCAGCCAGGAGCTTTCAAGGCCTGGGGCTTCTTCTCCTTTGAGGCCACAGAGAATTTACTGAGGGGCAGTTAAGGGCTTAGCCAGAAGGGTGAGGCAGCAGGTGAAGAATTTTCCTTCCAAATCGTGCCCTAGCTCCTATAAATAACCTCATCAAGGTCAGATTAGGCAGAGGCCTCGAGAGGTCGAGGTCAGATTAGGCTGAGGCCACGAGAGGCCCTAGGCTGCCCTCCCCAGGCCACGAGCAACCCCCCTAGCCAAAGGCACCCTCAGCATCTGAAACCCACTTACAAAGTCAGTTATTTATCAATAACTTTTCTCTAGAAAATTGGATCTTTTTCCCAGTGGCAGCACTTTGGGTTAAGGGCATGAAGTCCATGTTCCCACCACCACCTGCAACTAGCCAGTGTCTCCCCCACTTCCCTTGGGCACTCCTCCCATGGGGCTGTGAAAAAGGGTGTCTGATCACCCAGAAGCTTGTTGCTCTCCACCACTAGAGCCAACCTTGGAATTTCTAGCATAGGCGGGATTCTAGGGACAGAGAACCAAAGCAGATGTATGTGCCTGGCTGTGCCCTCGAGAAGCTCCGCAGCCATTGTGAGCTGGCACCGTCCCTCAGTGTCTCCAGGTCTGCTGCCCCCTCCTTCGGGTTCCTGTTGTTCATCGAGAGCCCGCCCTAACCTCGGCAGCCAAGTGGCCCCTTCCTTCATAACACTAAATGTGACTACCTGTGCTGCTGACATGAGGGGTGGCCATGGCCCGAGACGGAGGCCCGAGACGGAGGCAGGGACGGCCAGGCTTGCACTTGTGTGCTCTTTCTGACCACCTGCCCCACAGCCTTGGTTCTGTACCCAAGTCCAGAAATGGCGGCTGCTACTCCTCTGCTCCACCCAGTTCACCCCCTTCCCACCTCTCTCTAGCTCCTCCCCACCCCCACTTCTCTCTTCTTTTCTCTGTCATCTGGGTCCCGGTGAGAAGTGCCCACTCTCCCCCTTAGTCCCTACCGCTGACCCCCCCCAGCTGGCCCACCAACGGAGCTGCTGCACTGGGTCCCTTCCTGTGCTTCCCTCCACAATCTCCCCTGCTCGCTTTGGCTCCAGCAGTGCCCACGCTGAAGCCTCCAAATGTCCTGTCATCGAATAGGTCACAGCAGATAGGTCCAAAGTACACTGCAGTTCACAGGCCAGAGGTGGGGCCCTGCCACGCATGACTGTATGACCTGGGGAAGCCCCTGTCATTGTCCTTCCCTCAGTGTCAGGATCCTCAGCCTGCAAAGGAATGAAGCGCTGACACATGGCACATCATGGATGAACCTTGAAAACATTACACTAAGGGAGATAAGCCTGTCACCAAAGGTCACGTGTGGCATAAGGATTTGCAAGAAATATCCTGAACAACAAGCAATTTATAGTCAGAAAGTAAATTATGATTGCCTGGAACAGGCTGGGCTGGGGCTGGGGGCTGCAGGGAGTGACTATTCATGTGTTCAGGGAGTTTTTGCAGAGAGGGAGTAATGAAAATACTCTAAAATTGATTGTGATGATTGATGGCTACATAACAGAGTACACTAGGAATCTTTGAATCATAGGTGCATTGTACAGCATGTGAATTACATCTCAATAGTAAAGCTGTTACTTCAAAAAACTTGGAATCCTAATAGTACATACCCCGTAGGATTGTGAAAAAGAAAATGTACGAATGGAAAGTACTTAGCATATGTTATTGTTGTTGTTATGAAGAGGAGCCTGGGAGAGCCCTACCCAACCTATCACAAGAGACCTTGACTTTTGGACTCTCAAAGGTGACAAACCTGCCTCCTCCCACCTCCTTATCACCAGAGGTAGCCCTTTCAGCATCTGGAAAGAACTGTTTTAAAGAACCCCAAGCAAAGGAAATGAACCAGTTCTGGAACTCTGACCTTCCCCCTCGCCTCCCTGCCCCTCACCAGCCGCCTCTTGTCAAGTCACGCTGTCAACTAGCTTCTCTAGGGTAAAGTTTCAGGCCAGCTGGACTGTATAAAAGAAAGGTGCCAAGCCCAAGGCAGCAGATGCAACAGTGAATGGCAAAGAGGCAATCAGAGCCCTGCCTCCCCCTCCTGGAATGGAACCCTAAGGATCCTAAGGAGCGCCTGTGCCTTCCCTTCTCTGGCCTCTCAGGTAAGACCCCACTCTCCATCCCCCTCTCCCCTTCACAGCAGCGCTGAGAGCAGCAGAAGCTGTCAGCGATCACTAGTAGGACAGGGGCTGCCAGAGATTTACTTCAGCCCTCACCTGGGCCCTATGAGGGAAATGCATCCCTGATGAGAACACCAATGGGAGTGGGACTCACCCCAACATCCATGTCACTCCCCCAGTCTCACTTCCTCGATCAGCTAGCAGCTTCTGCAAATAACCAATTAAGAAGTGACTTTCTCCTTAGTCTATCCCAGAATCCAGCCTTCTTCAAGATCGTAAAGCCCTTTCCCCATGAGGGGCCCAGAGACCCTTTTCCTGAGTGTGTGGGGGGGGGGGGGG